ATGGAATTTAACGCAGTCAGTAAATATTTACCGATTTATTTTTTTCTGTGCATACGGTATTGAACGTAAGTTGCTCTGTAATACTTTGTGTGTGTGATCAATATCAACAAAAAGAACCAGTTAATATTCCATTACATATCAGTGAATAGCTTGGGCTACAGCTATAGCAGTGCTATTTTCACAGCTCCTATTCATAGGTGCTATTTGTGAACAACGCATACGGACAGCGATTTTATGATACAATTCCGGACAATAGACTTATTGATTTGTTTATGCAAAAAAAATACTAAAATCAATAAGTCTATTGTTCTATTAACATTTTGAACATTTCGTTCGGAATTGTATCATAAAGTCGCAAATAGCACCTATGAATAGGTGCTGTGAAAATAGCACTGATATAGGTAGCTGTAGCTCAATCTATTCACTGTTACATATTCATTTTTTTAAATTTCAATTCATTTTCCGATTCCAATACTTTATCTTACACGTGTGTGCGGAAAAGTAATATACAAAAACACAACAAAATCGAAAGACGTTTCGAAATGTATTCAGTGCATTTCTTTGATATTTCTATTACACATTTTTTAATTAAATACTGTAATACTGTTTAATCATATATGGAAAATGATAAATGAATATGTAAAATATTCCACACATTTTGCTTTCAATTTTTTTTGATTCGGTAAGAAGAACCATATCAGGGGATCTGGATTATCGTAAATACAAATACAATGTCATCGATGATAAGACGTTCAACTGCGAAAAATACATGGAATAGTGCCAAAGTAAAGGTGTTTTCAATTGAATAAAATTATTCAAGCAATTATTTTTCTGTATCAAAAGTAAACGGATTAAATTATTCCTTATGATCTATGAACTGATGAGTTTGAATTTTGAACTTTTCAATACAAATTTAAATAAGATAAGAGAGTGATAGTGTTCTTTTTTGCTGGTCTATAGTTTTGTTTTGATTATTGTTTAAAACTGTTGATGAATCGAATGTATTTTTATGCAGCAAAGGTCATCCCTTATGAGATATATTTGGTAAGACTTTGGAATGAGTCTTGTGATAGCGAAGAATGTCTTCCCATCGCCTTGTAATATAAGAAAAAGATATGGTCATTAATAACTTTTTGAACCTTTCAGTTCTTTCAACAATTGATAGATAACACAACAACATAACTGTCAATCAATTTTTGAATTTTCGACGAATCAATTGAATTATGTGTTTGAGTCATTGTTCAATGTTCATGAGTTATTAAATCAAGTACAAAACACTTGCAATTGATAACATTTCCAAATATTTAAAAAGTTTCGTATTACATCTAAAAATGAAAAAAGAGGCTTATGTACGCAAGCTAACTTTTCCACATGCGAACCAAAATTTTGGGAATAAGCAGAAACAATGTTTTTTGTTACCTAATAAAAACTTGAGAGGGCACCAAAAACCGACAAGATAAGACGCAATATCACAAGCGGATAGTTTATAAACTAAAACTGAGATTTGTCCGCCGAATAATCGCGGACGAATTTTAATTGTCACCCCTAACCGGGCAGGTCGATTTTCTGAGTCCCGGTAGCGCGTTTTTTTTTAAAGATACATAAAATTGCATAAAATATTATTTTAATCAAACACATTGTTTTGTAATATATTCTTCCATCCTTCTACTAATCGTTGATAAAAGTTGTTTTGAATTTGGTTCGCTAAGTAGCGCTGTATTGAGGTTTGAACAACTACCGGAAGTACAATTTCCATACACATTTTTTAAATGAAGTGCAAGATTTGTACTAAACAACTACTGAACTGAAACTTAAATTCATCCGATTCGGAATAAATATTGATTATTTTTTCAATCTACAAAAAACAAATTTAATTCCATATCTATTATGTTAAAACAATAATTTTCGTCGTTAAAATTCAATGAATTTTGAAAAAAGAAAAACATTTTTTTTTTCATTGAATTTGCATGGAAAATGTACGTCCGTCCTCAGAGGCCCCACTTGCCCGATAACGTTAGTATTTTGACCTGCCCGGTTAAGGATTAAGAGGAGAATCCCGTGTGCGAAATTATTAGTCAGCTAGATAATTTGGGACGTTTCTCACTAAATCCAACTGAGATTGAAGTTTTTTAAAGTTAATTTGTTTGATTTTTCAGTCGATTCCAGTAGAGAAAAATATAACTCAAATCAACTTCAATCACAGCCAACTATAGCCATAGGTCTCTTTAAAATCGGATAAATAGACGACTTTAGTCAACTCCATTAATTTGACTCATTTGCTGTCCGCTTCTAAAACCATCGTAATTCTGAAAATGAAAAAAAATCTCTTTACCTTTCGCAATGTGTTTTTCCATCTAAGATACACACCAATTGCTTTAGCGATAGCTTGTTATACCTTATTTCATTGAGCAATTGTTCAGCTTAAAAGACCTTCGCTTTAGTGAAGCGTTTACGCTTGTTTTACATTGGAATTGTAGATAACATGAAACATCAGCGATTATGTAGAAAAATGGAATATTCATACGCTACCAGGGAACTTGATTGACGCTAAAAACTAGTCGATGGTTTTTTGTTCAGTCGGCTTGTCTATCACCGATCAAATTATGTTCATCTATTCGTTCATCATTCAATTTGATTGAATTTATTTATAAATTGAATGTTTTCAACGAATAAAGGTCTGGTAAAACAGGATTCGTATAAACTGTTAATTTATTCGAAAATCCACTTTTTATGCGAACTATCTGGACGTTTAGTTGAAGCAGTAACCGACAGTTTTGTTTAAATGCTCTGTGCAATCAGATCGACTAGTGTGTATGTCGAAAATGAAGAATATTTTTCCAATTTTTTGGGCATTTGTGGCTCTTTTCGACAATTTAGCAACCGCACGTAAGTTTAAAACTTCTTCTACATTTTTTCATGAAGGGAAGGTGACACATTCAACTAACGAATCCGACAGATTTATCAAATTTCAATCAAAAGTGTTTGTAATACAGATTTTGATTAAAGATAATAAGACATTTGTATTGATCCATGCTACTTTTCCGCATACCCAGTGTAAGAATGGTATTTCAATTTAATTTACAACAGAAAATCACTTCAGTCGATCATAACTGTTGAAAATCTTCTTGAAATTGTGGCACTATTGGCGATCTGATAGTGCATATTGTTTGTCGGTCTTGAGTTTTGATACGTTTGGTTCAAATGTGTTCAATACACGAAATTGTCATATACACTCGTTTCTTATCTTATGTGTAATCTCGTTATGGTCAAAGTCATATTTGTTCGATACTTGCTATATGGACAAAGACGCAAGCATATGAAAACATGTTCATAACGTCAATCACAATGAAACTGGTATCTCTAGTATGTTAATTTCAATTTAACATATGGATAAAATCACAACCAACAATAGAGTACGTATGTGACGAAAGCAGAAACGAGTATATCAACACTGTTGACCTAGCGATAACAAAACGTTTTTCAATAACTGAGTTTGGTTCGTTCTCTTCGACAGCTTGGTTGATTTGATCGTGGCTTTGTGTTGAACCTTCTAATTCGTTTAGACTTCTTATAATAAAATGTATTCGTTTGGATGAGAATGAAGAACGAAATTTTCGTTTAGAGAGCATACCAAATTCTCTTCTGTCCCAGCAGACAGGGTGAAAGTGGATTTTTTTCACTTTTTTTGTAAATGGAGCCATGACGCAACACCTTTTTAATGCACGATAAATGAGTTTGACTGTCAAAGAGTCTGACAAACATGCCATTAGTAGTTAAATATGTTAATACGAATGAGGCAATAGGCTTATGCGGATAGTCAAACGAATGGTAATTTTTATCGAAAAGCAAGTGGCAACAGCTACTCGTAGCGTGTAACATTTAAGTTCTTTATCATCGAGTAAGTGGACTAAATTTTCTGTTCTTTTCCAGAAAACAAATGCCTAACACCCAATAATGAGAATGGTATTTGTGTCGCATTGCAACAATGTCCATCATTTTATAATTATGTATCGTCAAACCCGCTATCGCAAAGTGATCAAGCGTTTTTGAAAAAAAGCCAATGCGGATATTTCCTACTCACCACATACGTAAGTGTGCATTTAAAATAATTTAAAGCGTAAGATTATGTAAGAATCGAAAATTTTGCAGGTATGCTGTCCGCAGTCAAACAGTGGGTCTCAAACCGCATCGCAGTTTAATCAGTCACAGTTTGGACAGCCGCCTTCGTTTAATCAACCTTCATCTCAGTTCAATCAGCCATCGAACCAATTCAATCAATTTAATCAGCCTTTGTTCAATCAACCATCTTCCCAATTCAACCAGCCATTGTCTCAGTTCAATCAGCCTTCATCTGCTTTCAATCAACAGCCATCACTGTTCAATCCGTCAATAAATCAGTTTGGTCAATTTCCATCTCTGTTTCCGTCCGCATTTAATCAACCTTCATTTCCTTTCAGTCAGCCATCAACTTCTTTTAATCGTCCAACATCAGATTTGAATCAATTGTCATCGTTGCTCAATCCATCATCATCCTCATCCAACAGGCCGTCACAGTTTGGCCAGCCGTCTTCCACATTCAATCAACCATCAGCACCGTCTAATCAACCGACATTTCATTCAAATCAATCACCTCAAATCACATCATCGTCTCGATTTACCGAATCCAATTTGCCAGCACCGGGAGTTTGTGGATCTCAAATAACTGGCGATCGAATTGTTGGCGGCATGGAGACGGCACTCGGAGAATACCCTTGGTATAATAATTTTTCTCTAGAAAAAAACAACAATTTCTTTATTTCTCATAATTTCTCTCTTTTGCAGGTTGGCGCTGATCGAATACACTAAACGTAATTTTTTCTTTCTCTGACCGTCTTTCAATATTCAAATGTTGAACATTACGTCTTTTAATATTCAATGTTTTCGTTGGATTTTCCAGGTGGATATCAAGGTCAATTCTTCTGCGGGGGATCGCTTATCAATGAAAAATACGTGATAACCGCAGCGCATTGTATCAAAAGTAAAAGTGTGATCGAAAGTGGTTTCAAGCCAACGTCCGTTCGATTGGGCGAGCATGACGTCCGCACTGACATCGACTGTGTTGACGTAAGCTTTCTAGTTTTGCTACTTAAACTGCATTCATTCTTCACATACCTCGCTTGCAGGACGAATGTGCTGATCCAGTGATAGATTTGCCGATTGCTGATATCATCGTGCATGAAAATTATGAACCTACATCGAATTTACAAAATGATGATATAACGTTAATACGTCTCCGACGACGAGTTGAGTTTACAGACTATATTCGACCGATTTGTTTACCTTTTGGACGACATTTGAAGAACCAGAATCTAGATCGATTCCCACTGTTTGTTAGTGGTTTTGGCAAAACCGAAAAGGGTGGGCATGCTGAATTTTTATACGATTTTTGATTAAGTTTATTCATTTTGATTTTTGCAGGATCCAAAAGCGATGTAAAATTGAAGGTAGAAGTTGACGGTTTTAATTGGAATCGGTGTAATAAATTGTACAGAATAACGGGCATTAGTTTGATTCAATCACAGTTGTGTGCGGGAGGCAAAGCCGGAGAAGACAGTTGTCAAGGCGACAGCGGCGGGCCACTGATGGGACAAGATAAATTAGGTAGTGGTCAACCTTACACTTATTTGGCAGGAGTTGTGTCATTTGGCTTATCAAAATGTGGAACACCAGATTATCCGGGAGTTTATACACGGGTTGATCAGTACTTGGACTGGATTGTAAACCATATGAGCCCATAAGCAACGACAATTAGGATTTACTTTTTTTTATTTTAAAGAATTCATTTTAAAAATTGGTACGAAATTAATTGTATTAAATGACCTGTACCAATATTTGCTTTGTGTTTGATTTGAAAATAGTTAACTTGCCGCCTACCAACCATATCTGATGAAAATACGTAGAAAAAAAATGAAAATGAAATATCTGTGATTAGTCATCACAAAAATGAGTGTTAGTCAATGTGACCTTATCTTGACCTAAAACGGCGAACGATAACACTAATCAAGAAATCGCGCCAAGACGCCTATATCGATCATATTCATTTATTTATTATTTTTAAATGCATTATGAAAATTTTTAAACATTTGGATTTGTTGGGAACTATTATCAATTGTACGTGTTCTACACTTGATTTAATAACTCGTGAATGACTCAAACACAACTGATTCATTGAAAATTAAAAAATTGCTTGGATTTCCTTTTCTAAAGTTCCGAATTTCGTTTCGGGCAAACAATCTGTCGCTTTTTCAAACATTTGTTTCATGAATCTTTTATTCTTTTCGAACGCTTCAGTTCTTCAACCTCTTGCAAACTGACTTACACGTTTTTTAGCACAACTATTATAAATGATGAAAACTATGAAGACTTTTACAATTTTTATCATAGTTTTAGCTTTTATCTTTTATCAGTCTTAGTGTGCCAAACGTAACATTCATCATTCCTTGAAGCAGCCCAGAAAAATCTTATCTATCACAATACCCGCATAAGAATTTAAAATATTCGAAAAAAAAAGCGTTTTGCAGGAGTAAGATGAACTTTTCCGCACGGTGGTAGTTGCGTATTTCCCATTAATGACACACAAATCAAATTAAGTCAATTTGCCGATGACACGGCAATTATCGCATACAATGAGAAAAATAATATTGAGGATTTAAGAGACGACCTCAATAATTATTTGGAAACTCTCTCAAATTACTTCGATACATGGAAAATAATGTTAAACTCGGAAAAAACCATTTCAATGTTCTTTGTTGGACACTACACAATAACAAAATACAAAAATAGAAAACAAGCATACGAATGTCAATTCACGTTGAATAACCATTTAATCGCCAAGACAAAGAAGATTAAATATTTGGGAGTAATTTTTACCCCCGATTTATTTACTTCAAGCAAGCAATGGTTTTCACAGGCAACCTGCCTATAACTGGCTTAAAAACAAATCCAACGAATTTTTCGAATTTGACGGCAAGCTACTTTTTTACAACAAAAACAGATCGGGCAACATAGCCTATATCACACACCAATAGATATAGTTACGGTTTTTTTCTTTTTCTTTTCCCGTATTTATTAAAAACTAACACATTAAATTAATAAATACCGAACCAAAAAGTTTGCGAGCAAACATCAACATTTTCATTAGAATTAGTTCATAAAACATATCTTGTAACTAGATTTAAGCAAAAAATAAAATAAAGTTACGCTTTTGAAAAAAAAAAAAAAAAGTTGCGTATTTCATTAAGCTAGTTCAAAATAATATTTGTTCGATTTTTCAAGCCTTTCAAGCGGTGTAAAGTTAGAGATCAAAAAAATATGGTCAAACCTTGGCATCGAAATGTTATTCAATTTTTTTGGTAGCCAAAAAAACCGATAACCTAAAAAAGCCGAAATTCCATTTTTATAGTGTTTGGAACCTATTTCGTAGATATCAAAACAGCAAAAATGTAAGTTTGACGCGTATACCATGGGTGACTATTTCTTTTGTATATAACTTTTTGAACAGATGTCGTGACTGGAACCACCAAAACTTTCGCTTTTAGTCTTATCCATAATGAATAATGCCAGTTAATATAATATATAGTAATACATCGTCGCAAATTAAGCTACCTGAATGAAATTTTAGGTGATGATATTTTTTTTCTTTCATACATTGCCATATTGAATTGATGTTACAGAATAATAATAAAAGTTGGTTTGATTGATTGTAATATTATGTTGATCATGGAGCAGTATATGAAAACATATTAATCTTATCAATTGTTGAAAAAACTAAAAGGTGTACACTGTACAGAAGACTACAATATAAAAATGAGAAAATTTCGTAATAAATAGATAAGTCTATTATATGAACATTTGCAACAATTTTTCCCTGGACAGCGTATTAATTCACGTACATTCAATCACTATCGCTGATGATTAAAGATAAAGTAATCTATTACTTATGGTCAAAATATTAGGTACATATAAATTTAGTCGAATGAGATAGAGATATCAGTGCTGTTATAGATTTAGACGAAAAGACAAGACTCTTGCAAATCACTTCGTGAATTTACTGCCTGAAAAACGTTTTTGATCCAAATTGAAAAATGTATCAAATTATTTTCAAAATGCGATTAATTCAACTGTTTGTGATTGCTTTTGCATTTCATCAAATACACGGTTTCGGTAAGTTTTGTAATTAAATTGCAATTTCTGCAATTTAGAAAAAAGTAATTGGTTGAAAAAGAACGAATTTGAATTGCAAAATATTTATTTAAACAGATGTCGAGTATGCTGAAAATGTTGCAATAAACGCACCAGAAATAACGAATTTCAAATGTGGAGAAAAAGAGGCTATGATTATATGGAAACCATATGGAAATAGTGAAAC